TTTTATTTTATTTTATTTTTTTGGGGGGGGGGTCAGACCCCATTCGTTTTTCACAAGTGTCCTTTTTGTTCAGATTAAACCAAAGACCCCTGAACAATGCTGTTTTAGCGATATTATTGAATTGCTTACCCTCTTTAAATTACCATTGTCAACATTACATTTGCCTAGTATTACACAAATAAGATGACTGACAATGTACAATGATCCTTGTACATTGAAGTTTGTGTCAGTATTGTGCCTAAAATATAAAATCCCCTGATGGGTGGTTGTACTGTACCAAAGTAATCAGTGCAAAGTTAAATCCTTTTTCAGAGTTTTATCACAACTCAGAGGATAAAACTATTCATGTTTACATTTGTCTTGTATATTTAGCATGAATTTTAATCCAACTTTCAGCACAGCAGGGTAAAGTTTTTCCTTGTGCTTAATTACATGACTGGACCTAATAAGATTTGAGTTCTTAAATAATTCACTGACCACGCCGTGTTGGCCAAAAGGGAGTTTTCTGCACGAAATTCTGCTCTTTCACTTAACAGTTGCCGTTGTTAAAAATCAGGAGTGCACATCAACAACCACACAGTATGACTAACTGACCTCACAGCCTTACAGCAAAGTATATACTCAGTAAGTGTATGGCAAAACACAGCTGCAGTAACCATGCAAATACAAATATGGTCAAACCCCTTCTGATCTGGTGAGCTGCAATCAAAAATAGTGACAGTGACTTAAAACCATAACAACATGTTTTGTTTTTTTTTATTATTACTGCTGCTTCTCGTCTTTAAAAACAATAAAGCAGCCATAAAAAAAAACATATGTATTTGTAATCTGAGAAACACACAAGTTTGGGCACACAAATTTAGACACCCATGTCACCAACTTCAGAAAACTCGTGACACAATCCTGCGGATGATGGGTGGTGCTGACATTACCACACAGTGGTACAGTAAGTGGGGAGTACTGTATTTTAAGGCTTTATGTAAACAGATGTTTTTAATGACAGAAGGGCTTGATTCATTTGGAGACAGTGAATGGAGAGAATAAAAGAATACAAGAAAGTGCTGACAAAAGCACAAAGGGAACAGTGTCAAAGAAAACCAAATTGTTTTTTGGTACACTTTCTAATTTGCTTAATTCACCTTTGTGATATGTTACATTACGAAGATGAATGTTTATATTAGTTTGCTACCAATACATTGCTTTGCAAAAGTATTCATACAATTAAACCCTTTTCGCATTTTGTCATGTTAAAACCACAAATTTCAAGGGATTTTCTTGGGATTTAATGTGATCGAACGACACAAAGTAGCACATTACTGAAGTGGAAAGGACGTATAGCTTAACATTAATGGGCAGTTGTGTCAATATTTTTTAGAACTATAGCTGTAGCAGTGATTACTCTAACAACTTTGCACACATAGCCTGAAAACTTTGCCTATGCTTATTTTGCAAAAGAGCTCACACTGTCAGACTGGATGGAGAGCAGCAATGAATGGCAACCTGTATGGTCACTGTTTCTTAATTGGATGCAAGTGTGGACTTCGACTGGGTCATATGAGAACATATCAGTATGCTTTAATTTAAGGAAGTGTTCTCTGAACTTTTTGTAACGTGGGTCTAAATCCCCAAGTTAAAGGTACTTAAAAAGTCTCACTTGTTTCCTCTCAAAACAAAAGGCAAACAATTTCCCCGTTGTGATTTGCATTCGTTTTGTGTTTTTGGCCTACAGTTTCTTTTCTTTTTTTCTTTATGCTCAAGAACAAAATCTACTAGGTACAGTTCCCTCTTCTAAAATGGCCTGTCAGATTAGATCATGTGCCATTTTTCCAGTTTTAGATTATAAAATAAACAATTCTCAAAATGTTCAAAGCTTTAGAAAATGTTTTACAACTAAACCCTGCTTCACAGCTTTATTCCTGATCTGTCTACCACATCCCCTGGCCTCTATGATGCTCTTTAACATTTAGGCCTTCTCACAATGGGTGGATTTGTTCAGAAATTAAACACAGATGGACTATTTACTAACTGGGCTAGTTTCAAAGTTAGATCCTTGTACATTGAAGTTTGTGTCAGTATTGTGACAAATATGAAACGGTTCAACAGGTAAGTACTTTTCCATGGTATGACTGGCTGTGGGCTACATGTCTCATGCTAAAATACCCAAATAAAAAACAGAAATCCTCTTTTTCTGGATCTGTTACTCCTTTACCTCCACCATCTCTGTAATTATAATCTGATGGGGGGCTGACTCTGCTTTGTGGCAACATGCATGCCGGTGCCAGCATTTTTATTATTTTTTTTTTACTTTATCCAGTCTCACAAAATATAAAAAAGGACTTAGAAACTCTGCAATCAATTTGAAACATAGATGAATTTGGAAAACAGAAATTTACAGTGGTTTAATATCAGTGAGAAACAACAACAAAAAAAAAAAAACTGAAATATTACACTCCTTTATATTTATTGCAGTGTGCAATGAGCAGGAAAACATGACGTTTTCTAAACGTCATATTGTCTAAAAGACTCCATTTAGAAATTCTAACTATTACCGAGAAGAAAGGTACTGCAAAACCAAAGCATATTTCTTTTTATGTGCTCTTTAAAGATTTACGAGTACTGACCTGAAACAAATCATTGGCTCTGCAAAAAATTTACAGGGTGGTTGACTTTTCTTTTTTGTTGCCCCAGCAGGTGTGGCACTCACCAACTCAAATTCAGATACTACATTTTATTCTTATTCCAAAAGCTTGGGTGTTAATAACTTCCAGTAATGCCTCAGAAAAAGTACTCTGCACTAGTCTTTTAAGCTTTAACGAAGAGCAGATGACAGATGGGTGAGACTTTAGAGTTTCCAAGAACTTATTTGGCTTGTGAAGACAACTAAAAGTTGGAAATAGAGGGGGGAAAAAAGTTCAACAACTCACATTATGAATTTATTGCTAATTTTGTTTGTATTATCAAACAGGTTACTGTTCATCCATTGAGTTGTCTATTGTTTTGTGGCACAATGCCCGACGCAGTCAGGTTGCTAGTCCACCACAGACACAAACACACACATACCTAAGGTCAAGTTAGAGAGATCAGTTAACTTGTTTTGGACTGTGGGAGGAAGCCAGAGCACCAGAGAGAACTAATGGATGCACAGGGAGAACATGCAGACTCCATGCAGGAAGACCTCATGCTGGGATTCAAAGCCAGGACCTTCTTGCTGGCAGTGCTGCCAACTACCAGCCCTCAATTAGGATTTATTATTTCTCATTTTACAATCATACTTACAAATTTTACATAGATAAAAATGTGAATCACTTGTTTATTTAGGAGTTTGGGGCACTTTAACTGAAAAAAAAAAAGCTCAAAAGAAAATACCCAAATTCACATCCTGACAGTAAAATAATCAGAACAGTCATAACTTTTTTCCTCCAGACGGTGTTTTTGTGAAACAGCTCCAAGAGGAGCAATATTTGGTGACAAGTTTTGCAAATCAAGTGCATAGAATCAAACTTTGGATGTTGTGGGAAAATGTCCTGAGACAGAGTTTATTACTAACATTAAACTCAAACACAGAACAACAGCTTGGAAACTTCAGCGTTACGAATATACATTTTAAACTTACTCTTGGATGCAAAAGAGATTACAGAGCATAACTATGACCCAAGGCACAATTCATAAAAAAATGAATATAAATTCTTAGCTTTGGTTTGTTTATCCAGGTCTGTTATTAAAGGGAACAGAAATGGAAAAAGACAACATTTCCTCATAGCATATATTTGGGTGCCTTTTGTGACAAACTCAAATACCCAGTATGAAAAACAACCTCGTCACTTTCTTTGATCACTTTAATTGAAAATATGTCACTCAGGGACCTTTTGAGTGGCTGAGTGGCACCATGTTGCCATAGTGGTTATTACTGCCACTCCACAACAAGAAGACCTCCAGTTTGAAACCCTTGCTACGTGACAGCTTTGTTTGGCTAGTTTTCTTTTTGCCACTCCAGTTCACTCCAAGAATCCAAAAGTGTGCATTTTAGGTCAAATGTGATTCTAAATTGATAGAGTATGTTTCTGAATAGATTTGCAGCTGAAAGTAATGTTGTTTTTTTTGTCTTGCAGTTTATGCATTTCACGGCTAAATAGACTTGTGGTACACTGTGTTTGGTGTTTTATATCCCACCAATAAAATTGGACATATTATTAAAGTTTGTTGAGCTTTTCTAAGTCAAAGTATATGGCTGAGAACTCCTTATGAAGATACTGATTTTGAGCATTTAATTTTATTGACCAACATTTAAATGTCAGAACAATCTATTTTTAATTGGTAAATTTACAAATAAAAAAAATAAAAAAGAAGAAAAAAACATTTCTTAACAGACTATAAATGCTTAAAGAAAGCACTGAGGAACAAACCCACAGTGAAGTCCCAGGTTAATGCAGCCAGTATGTAATGGATGTTTATCTTTTCTCAGAAGACAAAGCTTGGACCTGAGAATCATGTCACACATTAAATGAGTTTATTCTTTTTGAAAGTTCAACAAACTGTGGAAATTGAAAACTGTTGTGACGCTACCAGCTTTTTGCAATTCAAGCCTACACCAATGAATTTCTCCACTAAAGGAACATCATAAATACAGGTTGTGAAACACTATAGGCCGTGACGATGTCTTTCTACAGCTAGGACAGGGGATTCGCTCAGAGCTGATGGAGCAATCCAACTGAGAAGCAGTTGCGAGGCATGAAAATTGATGATGACATGCTTTCTATTCAATCTGACTGAGATTGAGCCATTTTACAAAGAGTTACTACAAATCCTTACATCTTCAAAGCTGGAGAAATGCCCCAAAGGAACTCTAGTTTGGTTTGACTCTGATTCACGACGTTGAATACAAATACATAAAGTCCACCAAAAAATTTTTTTTAAAACATTATAGTTGTCAGTTCTAACATGACAAAAGTTAAAGGGATGTGAATACTTTTGCAAAGCTCTGAATATTTAGGATGATTTACCTGGAACACGCTTAGGTCTGTGTTCGAGCTCTGCAGGGAGTGGAGTTCTTCAGCAGGAAGGAGGAGGCAAATTTTAGCATCAAGCTCCATCAGATGCTCCAGATCAGAAAGCTCTGGGGTGTAACCCTGGCCTGCAGAGACTGACGTAGCCCACACAGCCTCCTGGAAAACAGTCGTCAGCTAAGTAAGTCATGGTCCATGGGGTATAAGTCTGCTTTGCTCTGTAGCAACCTAAACAGTGCACTGATAAACATTATCTAGCAATATTATTACAGTGATGTCAGAATCAGGGAAGAGGTGCCGTCTGACTTCAGCTCTCCATTTCTGAATGGGTTCTGTGTTAATAAGAGACAAACGGCACTCGCTGTGTGACTCAGTGACACTCCTATTGGATTCTGTGGGAACCAGTGCATGGATGTTGAACTCGGCACATTACAGTGGTGAGATAGGACCCATTAAGAATATTAACATGCCAAAACAGTTCATTACTCTAAACAGAGAACAGCTGTAACCTCTGAGTGCTGGGAGGAAAACTGGCAGAAGGAAGCAGCAAACATAGTAGCTCATTAGGAAGTTGAAGTCCATCCCAAATACAAAATGGTAGAGCCAAGCTGGTTTTTATGACAAAGGCAGGCAGGTTTTTGAACCATGGCAGAGGTTTACCTGTATAAGCCAGAATATTTCTGAGGCCTTCTTGTTCACATGTGCGTTCTGCAATGATGGAATTTCAGTTTTTCAAAAAAAAAAAAAAGAAAAAACATAGAAACATATGCATACTAAACACAGAATGAGGTGAATCCTGCTCACAAATATGTTGCGTCACGACATGTGTATCTGACGGTAAACTCAAATGCAGAGAGGCAGAGGTAGCCGTTAGCTGTTTTAATGAAATAAATTACACAAAACTTACAAAAATAACCACAGTGAGATGGAGCAGAACAAATACCATAAATCCATGAAAATAATAACAGGGACAACAACAGGAGAGGCCAGCAGGGAGTGTGAGCAAGAGAAAGGTTTAAATACCGTGAGGGTGAACGCTGGAACAACAGACCTGAGCTGACGAGCTAACAGGTTGCAGGTGTGAGGGAGAGAGCAGAAGGCAGGGTGAACAGAGAGAGAGAAAATGGCACCGGGGGCAAGGGAGAGTAGCCAGGGACTAGGAAATTAATAAAAAAAATTCAGACAAGAAATAAACATAACTAGAAAAACTAAGGTCTGAACAAAAGAAAAATGGAAACAAGACCGATCTAATCAAAGAAAGAGACTAAGAGACAGGATAATCAAACTAGAATGACATCATCAAAACAACCCAAGATTCTAACAATGAGCAACTGGAGGAGCAGCTCATCATGCTCTCACTCATCCCCATTTTGACTTTGGTTGTTTTTGACTTTCAAAAATGATTCAATATACCCAGTTTTTATAGTTACACATACACTTTCTACCCTCATATCTGGATTACTTTAAATTTAAAAACTGAGGGACTTTTTACTTTACGTGCTACATGGATGACAGCAAACTCCAAACAGGGTTTCTTCTGGCTCTCTGGCAATAACTGCTTTCTTCTTCCCACTCAGATCTGTGGCGCACACAACTAAGATTCAACAGTTTATCCCACCTAAGCTGTGGAGCTTCCCCAGACCTAGTACAGACCTGGATGCTTCTCTGATTAAAGAACTCCATGTTAGCCTGTTAGCTTAAGTGGACTGCCATCTTGGTAGGTAGCTTTGCAGCTGTTTCATACTATTTTATGGAAGCTACCTGAAGCTTTATCTTTGACCTATGTGCTGTTTTGCTTGATCTCCATGATGTTTTTCTTGTAACAAACGCCCAAGGCCTTTATTGAACAGCTGCATTTATTCAAAGATTAAACTACACACAGGTGGAGTCTATCTTTACCAAGTGTTAAATGGTTAACACGTGATGCTTTCAGGGGTGTCAAATTAAAGTGGAAATAACATGTATGTTCCACTCCTTTTTGCTATATTCAGCTTTGTAGCTGCAAAAAGTAATATTTTAGACTCACCCTGATGCACATAAGCCTCTGTAAGGTTCAGCTTAAGCTGTGTGTTTGCGTGTAGCGTCACAATTAGCCTCTACACTAATCTTTCCATCATATTTTCTTGAAAAACATAAATAGTAGTTGGGATTTGAGACTGAGCTAAGATAATAAGGGTTTTCACTGGAAAGTTATAAATATTGTTTATACTGCATAGCTGATGCATTTTTAAGATAAATCTGTAAGAATTTAAGCACCTTTTTAACTTTTTTCCCACAACATCTGAGGAATTAGGCAAGGAATGTTTGTGCTTGTGTATGTAAGCCCCAAATGCCTACAAGTCTTCAGTAAGTACCGGCTCCTAATGACGTGACTGTAACACGTCTACACTGCAGCACAGAGGTGACCCGTGTGAGAATTCAAGTGTCTGAGGTAAACACTGAGCAGCACGTTTTGATAAATGTGCACCAAGGGATTCTGCCAAGAGCTGGGTGACATCCACCACCAAAGTCCTGGTGACATAAATAATATCCTCGCTCTGTCGTGGCCATTCATACAAGCATGCCTTACAATAACAGGAAACAGGAAGGCTTCCTCCAGCTAATAAAAAAGTCCAGAGCATCTGCACTCCGGTCTGTTTGGTGTCTGCCACCGTAATCACTGCAGTATTGTTCTAAAGTCAAGGCAAACATCATAAACAGTTAGACATTCAAATACCCTAAAAACCCTGGCAGGCTGTTCTGTTGATGCAGATCTGCCTGGGTTGATTAAAACAGAACCGCATGTTAAGAGGTAAGTGTGGTTTTTGCCTGACGTTTAAGCAGGCATCAGCCCATCAGAATTTGAACTGATTTCATAGCAGCTCAAGAGTTAATTAAGGCAAATAAATGTGAAAATGAAAACATGTGAAGCTAGGACTCTGAATGAATCATTGGACTGCTCCAAGTAGCAATGTCTCAGCTTAATCCTCAAAGGAGAAACAAAAGGTCTTCTTCTCCTAGCTTCTATGCTCTGTCCCCACACCCGTAATGCGAGAACAGCTGTATGTCTCTCTGAAAGATCCATTCTTCTGAGTTTTTGCAGAAAAACAGGAGGGGGGAATAGCTGTGAATCTAGGATTATAAAATTAATTCACAACATGCAGCATTCCAAGCAAACCACATGTGGCATTTGACATCTGGTTCATAATTTGAAATACTTTGAGTCAGAAGCTTCAGCTTAGAGCAGAGGTCTGCAACCTGCAGCTCTGGCGCTGCAAGTGGCTCTTTGAATCTTCCACAACGGCTCTTAACGACTTTAGCTAAAAATGCTAAAGGACCAAGTACATAGATATTTCTTTTTAGTTTTTTTAATGGAATAACTGCATTCGGTTTCCATAACAGCATGGCCCAAAGTACAGATAAAATGTTTTAGATCATTTTTTCCTGTCATCAGGTTGGAAACTATGTGATCTTTGTTTTACATCATTATCCACAAATATCAACATCCCAAGGAAGAAAATGTATCCATCCTATTTCTGGTAAAGTTTTATGTTTTTCTTTATTTTAAAACCCCCCAAAATATAAGTGGTACTTTCAAATTTACAGCAAATTACTGCTGTAGATCTCATGTAACATTAGTCACAGTCTCAAGTTATTTGAAGGTTCAACCAGTTTTTTCCCTGGACTGCCCTACATTAACCTCAATTTACCCTTCAACTCTTAACTATATACATAATATACATAATGTAAATGCAGTAAATATTAGTTTTACTTGATTTTAATAATAGAGTTTGATGTGGCGCTTCCCCTTAAGGATTCTACATAGATGGTAGAATAGAAAGTCTCAGCCTACAGCATATGTTGTCTGTTATGGCCAAATGCTAGCCTACCTCACTGTCTGTGCCGCTGGTCCTGGCTCTGTCCTCTTCCTCTTCGTTTTTTTCTTGAAAGAGTTCAGCCAGACGCTCTTTCTCTGCACGGGTCAAGCGCACTCGACCCACATCACTTGCCAGCTATTGTGTTACACAACATAATGGGGAAAAAGATGGAAAATCAACATTTGCATAACATTTTTTATGCAATCAATGATGATATGTAGGCCTGAGTCTGTATATCTAAAGGAAAACACATTTTTCCAACTGGAAAAATCAACAGCTGAAAAACTTAACTCAAAGACATGAGATAATAGTGCAATTTTTTTTTTTTTTTTTTTTTTACGCAACATGAGTTTAATCATACCTCGATGTTCCTCTGGACAAAGTCCTTCTGTTTGTTTTTTTGTTTTGGAAGTTTTGCTGTTGCTCTCCACAAACCGGAGGCCCTCATTATTTGCACTGCTTTCTCCAAATGATGAAGTCAAGCTGCAAGGCGGCATCTCAGCTGTCGAGTAAGGCACGTCTTATTTCAGCGCAGAAACGTTTAAGAATGCATCTTTATGTTTAAATATTCACTAATGAAACTTATGCTAACATTCCAGATCAGTCCATTTTATACTCCTCTGTAGCTTCTGTCTAAAAAGTTTTTTTTTTGTTTTTTTTATCTCATTCTCTTGGGTTTTAATACCATAAAAATTCATAAGATTTTTATTAGGAAATTGTTGAAGAGTGACTAAAGTTTTGCAAAGATCTTTGGAAAAAAGAAAAAAATAATAATGTCACATTAATGGAGAAAACTTACTATTACAGGCTTCGTGAGCTTTTAGCGCCATCCAGTGCACAAATTTGTTAACACAGCTGCAAGTAACGTTCTAAAGCAGCACAAGCTCACCTTGCTGCAGGCCCTGGTCGTCCCCATCATGCTCACAGTCCGGAACCTGGGTCTCAAACAGAGGTGCGTAATGGTCCTCCTCTTTTGTACCTTTGTGATAATAAAACCATATTAGTGTGAATGGCAGACAGGCCTTCATTGCCTCTCATGAGTAATCATACTCCCTGAACTTTTTCACATATTGTCATAACACAACCACAAACTTTAGAGTATTTAATTGGGACTTTATGCAGTAAACCAACACAAATTACTGCATAACTGAAACATGGAGGGAAAACTGATGTTTTCTTTTTACATATAAAATTCAAAAGTTTTTAGTTTTTTGTTAATCCGTCATCTTCACCATGATAAAAATCTTGTATTTTATATGCTCAAAATAAATAAAGATTTCATTTCATTTCCATAGAAAAGATGACTTGTTTACAGATTGTCACAAGGCATGTGGGAAATGTGTTGAATAAGCTGATCTGTTCAGATCAGACCATAAATGGCTAACACTGAACATACTGGTTGTCATGATTTGGAAACGCTGATCTTCTGCAGGGAGAGAAGAGCTGGTTAGAGTTCATTAGAAGCTAAAGATTTAGACATGCTGTATGAAAATTTGTTAAACGATGCAAAAGATCCAAGTTTGGGCCAGATGTTCACATTTCAACAGGAAAACATCCCTAAACATACAGAAGCAGCTACAATGGAACGGTTTACAGAAACTATTACTATTAATGTAGTAGAATGGTTCAGTCAAAGTTCAAACATAGGTCCGAGTGAGAATCTGTGAAAAGACTTCTAAACTGATGTTCATCAATTCTCTTCATTTAATCTTAATGATGTTAAAATGTCATGTAAAGAAAAGTAAGCAAAGAATATACATAATTTTTCTACATACTTCAGACAAAATCCACTACGTTGACATAAAGTCCCAATGATTTTAATAATGAAACAGAATATGAAAATGTTTAAGGCATATCAACACTTAAGCCAGTCATGTTCTTAATCGGTGTTGGATTTACACACAAGTGTGGGCTTCCAAAGCCAAAAACAGCTTCGTGTTCAAAGCTTCATGAGCACATTCAGAGTATCTGTCGGGTTTTCTCTGTAAGAAAAAAAAAAAAAAAAGAACAGAGCAGATCCTCATACATTATGCAGCATAAAGGTTACTCATTTGATTAAAAAGACTATTTTCACCTGGCTACATAAGCATTGATGTCATATCTACCTGGAGCTCTTGCCACATTTTTGCTTGGAGTTCTTTTCTTTGACACTGAATTTCTTTTTCCTTGAAGATTTCTGCTGACAGAATTTCATCAAGTCGTCTCATTTCCTCAAAAGCTCTCTGTAGCTTTGAATCCTCATTTTCATCTCCTGTAACCTCAGCAAAAAACTGATCTGAAAGAAGCATTTCTTCTGTTGTATGCATAATGGAGCAATAGCTTAATTTTAATCAAGTGCTGAGTTCAATTTGCAAGTTGTGCATTCATATGTTTCTGTCAGTTTTACTTTCAAACAAACAGAAACATCTAATTGTTATTCTGAATTGTTGTTTCTTAATTTCAGATTTATTTTCTGACTAAATGAATGAATAATTTGAGATGATCTAATTCTGATGGATGGATTTATTTCAAGTTTGTTTTTTTACGTTGTGTGTTCCTTTCAGAATTGCATTACTGAAAGGATGTGCGTGTCTGCGTGTGTCTGTATAACTGAATGCAAATGTTGCCATCTATTAATTATGTTAAAATTACGCTAGTAGAAATCATCTTTTAATTTTATTTATTCACAATTCTAACTTTGAAACCACTACTTGAATGAACATTTACCTTTACCAGGTCCTCTGCCTCTATTAGGGTGTTCCATTTCCCCACTGCCATTCTGCTTTTATAGAAAATAGTTAAGCTATAAAATATACCTTTATTGTATTTAAAGCCAAGACGAAAGAGTTGTTTATCTACCTGGAAGTCAGCAGAATCGTTGCTCAAAACAAGCAGCTCAAATGGCGCAGCGGGACAAAATCTGTTATCAGTTTGCTCGGTCGATGCAGGTCGGGAAATATCATCTAAACTACCCTTAATGATTTCCATTGCGTTATGTACTGATTCGCTAACTATAAATATGGAGTAAAGTAACTGCAACAAGCCGTTGTCAACAGTTTCTTCCCCTTGTATACGGTCGGTAACTACGGACGCAAACATTCCCCGGATGTTGTTTCTCAGACACAGCTGATGCTGAAGCGAAGCAGCCAGCAGTTAGCTAGCGCAGCGGCTTCAGCTAGGAAGGTAGCCAGCGGTTAGCCCAGTACCGCTGCGCTGCTCACATTACAAACAGACGGGTTTATACATAGCCTAACGGGTATCTACCAAAATAGATACAATTCCCTCAGCGTCGCTGAGACATTGCTATTAAATGTCTGAATCGTGAGGTTGTGACGGAGGAGGTTCGGAGGCCGTGTTTTTTGTGGTAAGTAAATGATGATCCAGCTGAATCTGCGCTTAGAGGAAACAAGCTAAGAACGATAATATTGATTCACTTAGCTAACCATAGCTATCAAAGTCATGCAGCATATTCAGTTTCTAGAGTCAGACTTATGTTAGAAACACTCAATATGCTAACAGTGTCATTATATGTTTTTAAGCTGCTGAAATAGGTGGAGCCTTTGAGTCACAAATATGTTATATGATAAGCATTTGGTTTTCAAAGCCCCCTTTTCAGAACATGACCAAAAATTAAGGGAGTTAGTCTTGTGTGTTTAACGGTACTGGATGAAATATCTCTCTCTGTAATTGCGCTCAGTTATATCACCGCTACAATCACACCCATTTTACTGGCAGCTTTCCAAGCTCTGCAATGTACCTGCACCAAGCAGGTGTCTGCATATGATGGCAGTGGAAGATGGTCTATTTTATTGTTAAGTATCTGTTATAACACATGCGCAACTGTATTGTTCTCGCCTTGGTGTTAGGTTGAGTTGATTCTGAAGGGGAAGATGTGCAATGGAATTTCAGAGTCAATTTCAAATGCCTTTTGGGCCCACACCTCAGCCACCGCGCGGTCCTTTGTGTTGCTGCTGGTACTGACTCTAGCGTCCACTGGGCAAGGTTCAGGTAAGACAGCTCATGTTTGCACATTAGAGTAAAGCAGAGGTTTATTCATTTGTGCATTTAACATGTAATCCCTAATTTGTTTGGCTTAATGTTTGTCTAGTACTCAGTAGTTTTTTTTTGTTTGTTTGTTGTTGTTTTTTTCAGATCCATACCAGTATGTATTGTTAACACTATTAATTATATTACTGCATGACTTCTAATGAACTATATAATTAGTTTAATTATGATTGAATTTTAAATGTGGTCAAATACATGCATTGTTTATGTTGAATAGAAACTACATGATAAAATGTACATTTTGTAAATATTTGTCTTATTTCAACACTGAAACATTTTGTCAGTGAAAAATAAATAGCAGCGTTTAAATTGTACGTTTTAGTCACAAAATTATTGACATGACACAATAATAATAACAACAACAGACAAGAGGTAACTCCATTATGACATAAATAAAAAACATATTTGTCTGCTAATCTGCTGCTTTGTTCAGTTGTGCACTTGTGATAATATTTGAACTCTACTGTTCAAATGCTTATGTTTTGTTGTTAATTATTACTCATAATTGTCTGTCTAGTTTTATGTGCCTTGACATTTTGATTATAAAAAATCCCTGAGTAGAGCTGTACTATTAATCTTGTTTTATGACAACAAATCTAATCTAATAATTTGTGACAGCTGAAGGTTTAAAGTCAAAGTGATTGTCTCTTTATTTTTCCTTTTTCTCCTATAGAAATGCACACTACTGGGTTGTTTGTATCACATCCAGTAACTAATAAAAATGTGTCCCTTGTGCCATTTTGCATTTTTATTATTTTGTTTTACTAGTAATTTGTGTTTTTGACCAAATACATCTAAAGAACACGTCTAAATACTTTTCAATACAACCAATCCAGTAGTCACTTGATTAGTAAAAAAAAAAGTCCACCTGTGTCTAATTTAATGTGAGTATAAATTCAGCTATTCTGTAAAGTCCTCAGAGATTTCTTAGAGAACATTAGTAAACAAACAGCATGATGAAGATGAAGGAACAACAGCAGACAGCTCAGTTAGAAAGTTGTGAAGAGTATATTGGAGGTTCGAATGTGTCAACAAAACCTTTAGGTGCAGCTTTAACTAGCTTGAATCAAGTTTGTTCTATTTTTCTGTGTTACTGTTTTGTGTTCCAGACAAGTCTCAACGCTTGGAACGTAATTGTTGTTTTAATTCCGCAGTTTCTCAGAAGTCCCTTTCTCTCCACTCCTTTCTTTCCCAGGATGTGTGAGGCCTTACATGGTCCAGAACAGCTGGGTAAACCTCACAGAGACCAACAGAGGCTTGTTCCCAGTGGGCACAGTGCTGCAGTACAACTGTGACCCTGGTTACTTGCCAGATGGACCCAGCATCCTTACCTGCACCACATCAGGCCGGTGGTCCTCAGAACCTCCTCAGTGTATACGAAGTGGTGGTAAGGCACTCGAAGCGACCTTTCTCTATCAACCAGACTGCCATCTAATTCTCATAACTTCATTTTCTACATTATCAAGTTTTAATTCTCCTACTCTCGAGTTTCTAAAACTGCAGATTTTTTGACCAGTTTGCCAACATATAAGCAACTTTTAAAGCTGGGCTGCTGATTTGTATGTTGTGCTTCTCCCTCATCAGCATGCCTACCCCTCTCCAAACCTGAGAATGGGGGCTACACCTGCCATCCATCCCCATGTCGATTGTTTTCGCATGGCACTATAATAGAGTTCATCTGTAATGAGGGCTTTGCTCTCAGTGGAGATTATCCCTACCTGACGTGTCAGGATGGACAGTGGGACGGACCAATGCAGATCAGTTGTGTAAGCAAAGGTTGGTCAATATATTACAGTTTTTAATCTGTCGGTCCTAAATGCACACCTGTCACTAAACTAATAAATGTTTAAAATTTGTTCAAAATTTAATAGCAGACAGGCAATCCCTGGTTTTAGTAAAACTTTGATCTAGATTTGGGTGATTCTGAATTCTCCTAGAGAACTGTAACATAGCAAGATATAAACCAGCATTCAGATACTTTCTCCATCCTTCATACATTTAAGAGTCATTATTTACAGAAGCTCCCAAAAGTGTTTCAATTAATGTTAAAATGCTCAGTTTTTCCCATAAAATGATGAGACCATAATAACTTAAAAACATAAAAATTTCACATGAAATATTACTTCTTAAGTGCTTTGAGACAACATGTGGTATAAATGTGCACTTTATATGCAAGCTGAATTAAATTGAATCTTTTAAAATTCATCATATAACAAACTGCTTAGAGTGACTGCTCAAAAATGAATTGTTGAAAATATTTCACTTTTTTTCAGATGGTAAAGTATAAATATTGACATTTCAAGACTGGCCAATTTTCCAAAATAACGGAAAAGATAGAAGAAGAAGCTGATCGGGAAGTTTCCCAAGAGACCAACATTTCAAATACTGATTGTGTTCTGCATGTGACGACAATCTGCTGTATTCTCCATATGCCTGGACTAGCCAGTAGGGATGGAAGACATAAGATATTTATCTCAAAGAAATTATTGGTGCTTGTCTAAAATCTCCTTATCCTTTGTTGTATTCCGTTTAGCTTCCTCTTTATCTGCTGGAAGTATAGCTCTCTCTCACTATCTCGCAGCCTGAATAAACAAGATGTGTTTCTTGAAATGTCTTAGAAAATAAACTGAACAATAGCTAATTGAATCTTCTTTTGGGCAATGGCAGTTTCCTCACTGAAACAAGATGCCAATGCAACATGGTAGCAATGTGTGTTCACTGATTGGGAAAAGATTGTTTTTGACTTCCAGCTAACTGGTCAGTGGTCAGAACCATTCAATCTGACAGTTTTTCAGTCAATAGTAGATTATTTTTTGGTACTTTTATAATCCTTTACTGTTTAAAACAATGAACAAAAGACCAATTAACAATTTGATTTTTTTTCCCATATCACATTTACTTAAGGTTGCATTAGACCCTCTGTAGTGCAACACGGTTCAACTAATCTGACGGACACCAACAGGAGCTTGTTTCCAGTGGGCACAGTGCTGCAGTACAGCTGTGATCCAGGTTACCTGCTGATCGGACGCAGCATCCTCACCTGCACTTCGATCGGAGACTGGTCTTCTAATCTTCCTCGCTGCATACGCAACGACGGTACACATGGGACGCCTTACTGAGCGTACTAGAAGTGTTTACTGGTTGTAGGTTTCGAAGATGTTCTTTTTTTTTTTTTTTTTTTCATTGGCAGTTTGCCAGCCTCCGTACCAGCCAGAAAACGGAGGCTACACCTGCCACCCATCCCCATGCAGACGGTTCTCTCACGGCACTGTCGTGGAGTATTTCTGTGATGAAGGTTACATCCTAAAGGGAGACTACAAATTCAGAACCTGTCGCTATGAAAAATGGGACAACATATCGCCAGTCACTTGCGTTATTAAACAAGGTGGATGAACTGCTATACAAATATACGAAGAAGTTGCGTAACTAAAGAACTCAGTAAAAGAAGTGCATTTGTCACTAATACTTTTTGTTTATTATCGTGTCTCTTTTTTAAGGCTGCGTAAGACCCTCGATGGTCGAACATGCTTTAACCAACCTAACTGACATGAACAGTAGCTTGTTCCCTGTGGGGTCAGTGCTGCAGTATAGCTGTGAATTTGGTTACCTGTTGGATGGAGCCAGCATCCTCACCTGTACCACACCCGGACACTGGTCCTCAGAACCTCCTCGCTGCATACGAAGTGACGGTAAAGATTACTCCTCCTTGAACTCCACATTTTGCCCAGAGTATCAACTTCATTGCTATTCCTTCCTATTTTTGATAATGCTGTCGGACTGCTCTTTACCTGGTGTGTTACATAAAAGACATATGCTTCTTTTATATTTTCCCACACAGTGTGTGATTCTCCATATCAGCCAGAGAACGGAGGCTACACATGCCACCCGTCCCCGTGCCGAAGACTTTCTCACGGCACTGTGATCGAATACTTCTGCGAAGAAGGTTATGTTCTGAAAGGAGACTATAAATATCTTACCTGCCAGTACGGCCAGTGGGACAACCAGATGAAGATAAGCTGTGTCATGGAGCAAGGTAAAGAATGTGACACATATAACTCCAATATGCTCATTTTTGCAGCACGATAATTATGTTGATTGATTCTTTGCCCCAAAGACCACATTCCAACTTTGCCTTTGGGAATGCCAGCCTTGTCCATAGTTGCTTCCACAGCAAGTTCAGTGGCTTTGATCCTGCTGCTGGTGGTGCTGTTTGTACTTTTGCAGCCTAAACTCAAGTCCTTTCATCGGTGAGTCGTTCCTCCGAATATTATCTTGAATCTGCTCTTTGTAAAAACAAATGAAAAAATTGTAAGTTTTTTCCAAAGACGTGACCATGGGGTGTCAGGGCAGCCTGTCTCCATCATGGTGGAAGGGGTCCAGGTGACTCTTCCCTCCTACGAGGAGGCTGTGAGCAGCAGTGGAGCTTCCACACTCAGCCCGGAGTCCAGAGTCCAGATAGTGTTGTCTGAGGGTCAGCATGCCTCAGCACTAGAGGCCGGCCCGTCGAGGCCATCTTCCCTCAAACAGCAGCAGTCCGAGATGCCTGTCGTTCACCCTGTGCGGCAGTCCTCCTCTTCCTCACCGTTGTCTTCCGGTTGGATTCTGGAGCACGCAGGTGCAACAGGTGGCACCGCCGCAGCACGTAGAAGGGCGTCTGCAGGCAGTGACCAACAGAGCCTGTCGCTAGACTCTGAGATGGATTACTCTGATGGTAAAACATTATGTCACACAAACATTTTTCTCCATATTTGACATCGAGTTAGATGAAACTGTAGCCTTTCAAAACCTGTTTTGATTACCTAAATTATTTTCTATTTGATTTCAAGCCTGACCATCATGTGGGAGTGTTTTGTTGCTGTATTGACTGCTGCACTTAACAAATTACACAGCATCATGAGGAAATAGCATTATATAAAAAAATATTGAGGCAACATGTGAAAACATCAACCAGGAAATAACTTTGGCAATCCTAACTGGCCTAAACCAGGACAAGTTTTAGGCCAGTTTTCAGACACCAAACATTTTAAAGTTGACATGCTTTTTTTTTTATTCAGTGTAAATTAACTTCATGATTTAACTTTACGTAATATGAGTTTCACCTTTTGAATTGAATCGTTTATATTAGCTTCCCAGTGATATTCTAATTTATTCATATACTCCTAGACGCAGTTAACTAATTTTTGTTTTTTCATAGATATGCCATTACTGAAGGAGGCCTGAAGCATTCAGAAGAGACAAGTCACCAGTACCGACCTTTACTGATTAACAGACTTTTATCAGCAGAGATGACGCCGGTTAATGAGTGAAGCGCTCATTCACTCTGAACATGGTTCGTCTGACCATCCCAAAGGAATACAGATGAGGAAATCACATGTACATATGCTTAAATTAGGCATTCCAACAGTGTGTACGTTTGTCTACTTTCTGAAAATGCAGAAAAAAATGAAAGGAGGAGGCAGGTTGGAGCGAACAAACGTGTCTTAAAAATGACGCTTTGCAGTTTATTGAGCAAATCTGTAAACTCATTTTGTAAAAACAAAAATCTGACTTGTTTACTATTTACATAAATCACACGTCACTTAAGAAACACATTTGCTAAGATGCATGAACCCACGTTACTATTGAAGTAGTAAGAGCTTATAGTGTTTTCTTCTAACATTTGGACGCTTTAGTCAACAGTTACACATCAATATGTAGGATCGTACTACATCCATCCTATTTCTCCTTCTGGTTTTCCCTCTTCATGCTCATATTCTTTCCCTTATAAGGCCTTAGCTTTCCACTTCTATGCACAGGTATCTATAGTATGTGAAATAAGGAGTTTTAAAAGTGAATGTCAGTAAAATGCCCTCACTGCTTAGTGATTGATTATCTGTGGCATTGTGAAACACCTCACCTGAAGATATTGTCTTTTGTTAATTTATTGAGGCTGCTGGGAAACCCCTGCTTCAAGCCTAAAACGTGTTTGTAATTTATTTGTGCCGAGAAAGCTGTTGATCAGCTGTTGTGATGCCTCTGCAGCTCGTGTAGTCTCTCAAAGGTAGTTTGTAGTTCATTTTCCTTTGGCTGCCGTGACGTCAGATGTGACGTGAAGTGTTTGGGCAGATCCGTCCGTCAGAAAAAGCAAGATAGCAAAAAGAACAAATGTACAGATCAGTGTAATTTCAGTGTTTGCTTTATTTGATCTTCCACTGAGTTTACTTTTAGATTAAAGGGTGTATGTTTTTGTTACAGCTGCATTCTAATTATGTAAAAAAAAAAAAGGTCTGATTATTATGTATATATCATGTAAATTTGATTAAATATTATTTGATGTGTTCAAGCTGCTTTTTATCATGTTTTATTGTTGTTTTCACATCACTTGTCTTATTATGGTGAAATGTTTCCATACATTTCTCAATGGCATGAATGTCGTATTCATTTTAGGTCTTTATAGATATGTTTGAATTCTTGTTTTTTGTTTGTTTGTTTGTTTGTTTGTTTGTTTGTTTGTTTTATTCCAGGCAGAATGTTTTTACTAGAAACAACATTACTGAATTTTGACACAAGAAAGTAATATAGTCAAAAGCAAGAAAATAGTGTTTGGTTGATTGCTAGAAACTACAAATTGAAGTGGAACGTCCTGACCTCAATCTTACTGCATGCTATTCATACCAATCTGATCTCGTCGACCCTTTTTCAACAAATTGTGGTCAAAGAATGAGATTCCACCACCAGCTGTGTGACCCAGCTGGTGATCAGCACCAGGAGGTGCCTGGTTGTTGTGGTTGTGTAAGAGCCACCCACTCCTGAGCCCCCTTTTTACTAAATGAATGAATTGTTGAATTTCATCTTGTTTCTTCAAACTTCAATCATCCAATCTATTGACGAAACGAGTTACTTGCAAAATATGGCGTTTGGGATTGGCAGAGAAGATTTGGCATTCATTCATTGGCTCCACCTACAAACCACAAATACATTTTTCATACAAGGTCAAAAAATAGGCTCTCTGGCAGTATAAGATTTATTGCAAAGAATTGTTGCTCAAAATAAATTATCTACCAAAATCACATTTCTTTATCAAGTATAAATATGCCTGCTCTTTTGGTAGATTTTAGTGAATTCATTTTGGCAAAAGACTCTTGTGCTGCTGTACTGAATAGCCTTTGGTATGGCAAATCATGAGGTCATCATCTCTAGACAGGAACTAGTAGAGTCTAAGTATAGGTCTAAAAAGTTTTCCTAAGTTTCAGATATAAAGTTTTGCATTAGCATAAAAAAAATTAACTCCTCTCTTTTTAACTTTCTATGTAAGGCTCCATTCATGGACTTCTTCTTTTTTTCTTTGTACCTGTTATTTTCTGGAAGCAGAACATTTCCTTTTTTTTGCAGAGGTTTATTTGCCACCAAAAGTGTATTGCTGACTCAGTTCACATAATAATTTGACGGCACAGAAGTTTCTGAATTTTAATGAAAGCACGTCTGAGGTTATGCTGAATTATGCCAGAGGCTTGCTGATAGCTACAAAAAGCATGTATACAGAACATTACCAAATTATGTCAAGATTTTTGAAGATTGGTCATCTGGGAGAGCAGAAGAGTTTGAAAGAAAATGGTTTTTGCACACAGAAAGATTTCAGACACATTAGCAGTCAGTGTTAGTTAGTTTTATGAATAGCCCAGCATTCCTCTCTCATAGTTAGAAAAATGTTTTGCAAAAATACAATGAAATGGAATAATCTTTTTTCAGGATAATAAAGCTTATTAAAATGAACAACCTGGTAGTGTTTCTCAAACAAAATTGTTGTTTCTAAAGTTTAAAAAAAAATCAACATTTGTGGAACTACAAAAATCATTTTGGCTGTGACAGCAGGTATTTTTGACTGCCAAGGCTTTGGCAGACTTTCAGTCAATGTCACAGGTTTGAATAATGGCACACCTTTTTAGGTAATTTTTTCCAAGAGTGCATTGGTCTCTTTGTAGATCATTGTTTCACCTCTTCTTCTTTGGCATCAACATTTTCCCATTTGTATGGATCTGAATAAGAAAAAAACATGTGTTTTGATTTGCTTCAAGTGATTATAAGTTGCAGCAGATTGCCATATTGGTCATTTGACCCTGTTCTTTCAGCCTTGCTTGCATAAGGCTGGCTGTTCCAAAACTTACCCCCCTGTGGTGCCGTGACTCTTTGGTAACATCTGAAGCACAGTGCCAGAAGGAGGGCCTCTGCACACTGGAATGTGATGTACAACAAGGGGAATAAAAACAAGGGTCCGATGGACTGTGGAGAAAAGGCCACCTTAAGAATGGTGGTGCACAGCTGGATGTTTTGAAACCCTGTCTCCATGGAGATGGTTCTGCTGCATCTAAGAAAAAGGGGTGGAGTAATTTGTTAGAAGCTCAATGCTTCAATGCATTGTGCTTAAGGTGTATCAGTTCAATTATTGTAGAAAGTGATGAGGTGGAATTTAGTAATAAGGAATCAGTTTCATATTTAAGTTCTAAAGCAAGCTTGTCTCCTCTTCTACCTACAGAACAAATAGCGTTTGATACTGCAGAGCTATTTGAGCTGAAGATTTATTTATTTTTGTGTGAAACCAAGCCACAACCTGCCTGTTTACTGAATGAACTGATGAGTAACATGTCTTAACCTACTGTGGGCTGAGTCTGCAAATGACCGACATGACATATCCCATTATAAAACCAATCAGAGGCATCAGTGCAGCCACAGCGAGGACGTCTGGCATGAGGATCATCCATATTACATCCTTCACAGCGAGGCCAGAAAGGACAGACACTATGATGCTGGATATTATCAGGATGCTGAGACCAACCTGTCAAATAAGCAATTCCACATGTGTCAGTCATTTCACTAAAGAATTGAAATGTCAATTATAATATACTAACACTTAGTAAGTCTTCCTGTGGAAACTGAAACTTCAGTGATTGTCTTCAGTCTTGACGCAGATCTTTTGCAGTCAGTACCGGGTTTTTGACCTGCTGCCTCCTCCATGAGTTGAATTTTTAGCTTTAAACAAATCTTTGTAATAGCAGCTTTGTTCAATTATTTTAACTGTTTCCTGAGTAATTTGTTCATAGCATGTACCTTAACAAATTATAGATACAAGTGGACTGTTTATAGAGCCCTTTAGCTTATGTACACAACTGCACATCAGATTGATCAATGTAGCGTGACAGGTGGGAACTCCAACACTAACAAACATTTGGCTTGCACTGTTCTGTTTTGGCAGTCTGAGCATCAACCTCAGTTCATCATTGAGTGCAAGAATGAGTTCCCCCACTCTGCTTTTCCAACATGTCATCAGTGTTAGATAAGAGGTCATTGTGTGGCTAAACATACAGAAAGCTGTTCTTAGATGAAAAATCAAATCTCATGGATTCCATGTCCTTGGCCCCAAAATGTTTAATTGTCATTTCAGGTAACTGGCAGAAATCATCCTTAAGCTGCAAATAGGATTCATACAAAAGAAGTCTTTGTTTGATTACTTACTTTTGTTACAGTTGCAGAGTAGTTTGGTTTGTAGTGGTTGATGAAAATGCCAATGGCACAAGGCAACAAGGTAAACACGAGAGCAGTGATGATGCCGACATAAGGAACAGCATCTTTCAGACCAGTAAAGCCTTGGCTGAAGATGTACAGCAGCAGAGGCATGAGAACCAGGGCGGCAATGCTGGAGCAAGTTGTCATGACGATACTGCAAGAATTTCAAATAGGTGAAATAGGAGCAGTTTTTCTTACAACTGTGTAAAAAAGTGTCTAAGTTGTCTAGGTTTACCTGAGATTCATGTCACCTTTAACTGAGAGAGAAAAAATGTTTGATAAGCTTCCTCCTGGACAGCAGCCACAGATGAGCACAGTTACCGTCTTAATCGGATCCATCCGGAGGATTTTGGTCAAAGAGAAAGCAGTCAGGGGCATTACGCAGAACTGGGCCAGCAAAGCAATGGCTACCCCTTTTGGCTTGAGAAGATGGGCCTTAATTTTGGAGATCTCCATCGTGCAGCCGAGGGAAATCATGGTGATGAAGAGGATGATCACGGTCAAAATATTAATGGCTGTGTTCATGGGTTTGGGGATGATCAGGATGCCCATGCTGCCATTCCCGAGGATGATACTATTGTTGTAAATGGCAGCAATTCCCACATAACCGGTGGTCTGATTCATCATGGCAGTTCTTCCAATACTAGTTTTATTGCTTTGTGGTTTGCACCTGCCACGCAAATTAAATAAAAAAAGAGTACTTTTTGTTACTAAATTATTTATTTCTAAGACAGAAAACACAATGTAAGACCAAAGATGCATCTATCCATTGAATTTGAACCTCCTGCAGGCAACTTCTGTCAACATTAAGGCTGCTTATGCGTCTTTTTTGAAAGTCTGAAACAAATGAGCACAAAACTCTCATTAGTTTTTAAGTGACGCTTAAAAATAACTCAACGTGTAACTACCTATGAATTTTTAAATAGCAAATTGTGTGAATAATTTGGAAGAAAAAAATTGTTTGTGTGAGTTGTCTTACCCTCTGAACTCTATTTCCTGTTTTCATGTTAGATTCACAAACCTACTGTATTTTTTAACTGAAATCAAACAAAAAGGACACATAATTTTTGACTAATAATAACCTGAAAAGGACTATAAGCACATTCTCATTAAATTTCTTCCCAACTTTATCCCTACCATGTCTGCCATGTTATTTATTATGCCTTTAAAACAGTAAAATTTGTTCTCACAAGGGATTTCTTCCCACTCTGTTCCATTTCTTTAGAAACGTCACTCAGTAGCACACACAGAGAAAAATCTTTTCAAATTTTTCTTTGATGCGTCAAGTGTCCATTATAGACACAGTTACAGGTCTTTCTCAAAAAATTAGCATATTGTGATAAATTCATTATTTTCCATAATGTGATGATAAAAATTAAACT